TACATAAATCAGTATAGTGCAAACTTTTCTGGCGATTAGTCCAGAACTGTGGCTTGTATTTTGTTTGAAAACATAAAGGACAGACGGTCGGATAGCTAGATAGAATCGACATTTCGAGATATGACGATGGGAATGCGAATAACAATATAAAAATAAAATTATGCCAACCTACTTTAAATATATACTCGTATTTGGTATATCCGAAATGTGTAAAAAGCTGGGATGTTCAGATTTATTCTATTAAAATTTTAACGAGTGAAAAAATGTCAATGATAGCATCTTTAATAACTATTAACTACTTATAAATTCGAACGGTACTCTATAACCGCTATCAGTGTTTGAGATGGATGAGCCACTGCTGTCTAACTACTAGGTTTGGTTTTATTGTTCTCTTTTTTCATCTGCCGGAAATAAATGCGATGAACTTTTTATGGTCCAAACATAACGCGGCCGATGAGAGGATAAACTTATTTTCACTTTATTTCATTCGTCGCTTCTGTGTCTCCATGAATTTGCTTCATGTTAATTGGGTTGAAGAGGGGGGATATCGACATCATGGCTAACTCGACTCGTATGTTTTATTCAATTATAGAGTTTATTTTATCCCACTTTCAGCATGCTCTCTACATTTTCAACTTGTCACTGGCGTCATTCAGTTTGCTCTGAGCCGTGTCCCGTGCTCATGCAATAGTTCCCATTGGTAGCCCACAACGGTGTGCAGTTACTTTTGTCCGCGATGTGCTGTTGTGAAACAAGCACACGGTAATTATTAATGTCATTTCACCATGTTTCCTTGGCTGATTGTAGAACTGAAGAATGTTTCTACATACATGCACAAATACTCATGCACACTCACACACCTTTGGCATATGGGTACGTGTTTATGTTTGTTGGGAAAATGTATGCACAGTTTGCCGTGTCACATGCAAAGCTTATTGAACAATATTTGAATTTCAATAACAGTCACAAGCAATCCACCTTCAATACACCCAGCTGTATAGTGTCATGCTATTATCTACGTACAGTCCGCACGAAGAATTAAACTTAGTGTAATATAAATAGAAGGAGCAAGATACAATTTGTTAGAACCCCCCACGAGTGGGAAAAATTGTCCCTGTTACTAAGAATTAGGGATGAAGTAGGAAGTTTTCAATCCAAATGGAAAGAGTGAAGACCATATCGTACCCACTTTGTTTTTGAAAATATTGTTAAAACCAGCCAAAAAGACTGTAAAAAATGGTATAAAATGTTGTAATACTATTCTATTCTGAGAAGAAAGTTTTGAAAGCATTTGTATTAAAGCATTTTCATTAAAGCATTTGTAATGTTTATATTCTCTAATGGAAATAACTTATTTCTTGATTTCTTCATCTTTTAGGATTCCATTCAAGCGACATTTTAGTTATGCTATGGATATTTTTTCTCCAATTCTTACGTTTAATCTGTTTTTCTATGAGTTCCTGATTCGATAGGTTCCACAGCCCAACGAAACTTATAGTTTTGGACCAGAATATTCTGCATATGATCCTGAGGCATATTTTTGAATACCTGTAGCCTTTGCGTGCTGACACAAGCCAGGATTCACCGCTGTATGACAGAATGGACTTTATACATGCTTCGAATGTTTTAAGCTTGGTTTTTCTACACCTTGCAGTCGGCCGAATGCTGCTACAGTGCTTCCTAGATAACAAAAGCTACCAACGTATTTTATTGCTCGGCCTTGTAGCATGATGTTTTCCATACAGGTGTTGTTAATTTTAATGACCTTAGTTTTCTTGATATTAATCACAAGTCCAACACTGCGAGCCATTCTGTCCTGATTTTCTACTTTTGACTGCATATTGGATATCTTGTGAGAGAGAAGGCAGATATCATCCGCATAGTCTAAGTGTTCGAATATTCAAAATACCGAAAATTGGGAGGCATCATTAAAATTGGACCAATGTAGCTCCTTTTCGAACCTGATCTTTTAGTCTTCTATGAATATTTAATCTGTAATCACATAAAATAAAATGTTGTAGTGGTTCTGTGTTTCAAACCTTAAATTTAAACTAAAAATTAAACTAATTAAAATTAAACTTAAAAATTAAAATTTATACTATGTGATGGACACTCAATTCAAATGATTTTTTTTCCTTTGGCTTATTTAAATCTCATCATAAATTTAACGGTTATTGAACTCTTTTTTACATATTTATCGCATGCGATAATATTCATTTTCTCATGAGTACGACCATTGAAGAATATGGTAAGGTAGAAATCATATGCTAACCAAGAAAAATTCCCTCAATACAACCTTGTTTTTTCACAAACCGAGATTAGGAATACGGAAATCTGCTGAAATTCCTTCTTTTTCATCAAGGCTGTCCAAGAAGTAAGAACCTATTTCGAACAAATAATTGATAAATCTGCAGATTTTATCCGTGAAAAAGTGCTCAGCTTTAATTTGATATATTGTTGAGGTTAACCAAAAAGTGAATCCAGTGAAATATTCATTGGATTCAAATATCCAAATCCTTCACGTCCAATTTCTATACGACAGCACATTTTTTCACCCATGAAAAGAAATCCATACTGGGTTATTATACAATTAATTAATAGAAAATTGGCGAAGCAGCTTTTACGAAATTGAAATCTTCATATATTTGACCAAAGCTTTTTCCGTACTTTATGTCTATGTTGAGGAGATTTTATGGATAAAAAAACACTCAGACGGAATCATTAATATCTTATTAATTGAGATTATCATCACTTCTTTGTGTGTAACCACGTCTGTTTAACAGAAATAAATTCCGACGTCGATGTCTAACGGGCCCATTTGAAACATTCACGTACCAGCCACGAAGTTATTCAAGAATATAGCAAACATCAATAAGATCAGTACCAAAAAATTATCACGTGGAAAAAAATAGAAATAATCCATATTTAAAATTGTGAGCTGATACAGTCTTCATCAAATCCAGGTATACGTCATCAAAAAAATTATCAAACAATCAAAAAGCATAAAAACCGAAACTGGTGCTAAAAATTCTAGTGAAAAAGAAAAAATAAAAAAAGAAATGGGATGGCTTTAGAATGAAGTATTTTGCAAAGTAATTCTATTGGTAATTTTGATATCATATTCAATATGAAGAAAAAAAATTATTGGTTATAATCATAATATTGCCTTAAATGTTTGCTGTAATTCAAATAGAGCATTCACCAATAGAAATGCAGAATAATTCACTCTAAATCCTCCCAAAGAAAAAATATATACATTAATAATATGCTAAGTGATAAGCTAAAAGAATAGAACAGTGAATTACATAATTTATAAAAAATATATAAAGTGTCCCTTAATTTGTACAGGCACATGCAATGTTAATATTACGGAAACATCATTATCATAATCAGCAGATTCACCTGACCAATGGAAGTAGAAAAGGCCTCTTCGACTCATCCAATGTGGTGGTAAGTTTATTAAAATTGTTATTGTTATTTGATTTGTTCTGTGCCTATTGATACAATAAGGGGGACAAGAAAGATAGAGAAAGAATAATTTGAGTGACAATTGTACTATGAAAGAATATAGGAACGATTGGAATTTGAAACACGCTACGCCGTAATGTCTTTAAACAGCAATTTTTATAGTTTCTTTTAATTCTTATAATCAAAACAAAACATAAAATTGATCGTATTGCAGTTTGATTTTTGTTAAGTTTAGGGGAAGCATGCCCAATCCTCATAAGGAATAATACATCTAAAATGTTTTAGTAGATTGTAAATATAAAATTATAAGATAAGGCATAAATTAAGAGGAAAACTACTACTGAATTATAATTTAAAATAGTATTAAGGCGCATTATACTTAAAAAATTATTATGTAGATTTTTTTGTTGAAAATATATGAAGAGAAAATTGAATATGTATCAATAAATTCCATTCTGGAGTTTTCTTTGGAGACGAGTATGAACGAAAGTTAGATAACTTCGACGTCGTTTATGTAAGGGGCTCAATAATGATATTTCACCAAAAGAGCATAGTGATGGGTGGGTTTTGAGGTGATGCACTCCTAACAATACCTTGGAGTTGCATAATTATTTAATGTCAATCAACATGGTAAGCTTTGAAAGGGGTATTTGTTCACTTTTTTTAATGACCATTAATTTTTTTCTTTTAATTAAAAAAATAGGGAGTCTATATATTATTATTGTTCTGTTAAAAATGAGAATAGGAAGGAAAGGACCTTACCCCCCCCAACCGACTGAATAGCTAGCATATAAAGGCTCCCGCAGTCCTTCTCCTGCATATTTTCCAGAAGCTAAAAGATCTCGTTTATTTCTTAATCCTGAATATTTTCTAAATATTTTACAAAACTCAATGCGGTTCATTACAATAATTGGCGCCCAACGTGGGGCCGAAAGGCTCTATTTCAACTTCATTAGATTTCAACTTCATTAATATGGAAAGACACTATGACGTTGTGAAGATTTTGTTTGAATAACTTCTGATGGTTTATTGGATCTTTAGCAATCTGTGGTAATCCAAAACGGGTTTGCTAACCATAAATTAATTAGATGCCATTTCAGCAGTATCTGATCAAATCCTAGTATCTGGCTATTGTTATATTTTAGGGATGTTCTAAGGAATTAATGTTAAAACTTGAGTAAACTGACACTTGTTAGATTTCAGGATAGCACGTTTTTGCTCCTTGCGATTACATGCCCGGTTCTAAGAAGACATGAAATAAAGGCTAAAACAAGCTAACGATTGATACATATTTTTCCTTTGAAATCAGTAAAATTCCATAGACCTGTTTATATAACCTGTTGATTGATAGAAGTTATTTACATTCGTATGCATCTCGTCACAAAGAAAACATTTATAGAAATAATAATACAGTAACTTTTTAAGCCTAATAGTAGTGTTGACAAATTCCACTACCGAATCACATTCCAACTTTAAACACTTAAATTATCAAAAAGGATTTTGTTTTAAAGGCAAATACTACATATTCTAAAATGTCGGTAGAAAGAACACCACCACGTCCGCAAAGTATGGAACGCGGCAATGAGCCCGTTAACATATGCTCCATATGTTCAGAATCGTTGCAAGACGATCAGAATTGCGTTATTATTCAAGGATGTTCACATATATTTCACAAAGTTTGTTTAGAAACAGCTTTGACATCCTCAATGACATGTCCATTATGTAAAAGAACATGTCAAATGTCAGAAATTCGAAACTTTAATTTGTCTACAAACACCCTTTCAGTTACCGATTCACCCAAATTAACTTCTGGGTCGAAAAATTATCCCAATGCTTCGTCACATAAACCATTCAAGGCTCGTGGTAGAGGTGGTAAAGTATATAATACTCGAAGTAACGCTCGGATGAGTTAATCACAGAATTTGTTAAATACTACCCAAGATTCAGTAAATGCTGAATCTGAACCAACGAGAAATCATAGTGCTGCTCAAGCCACGAATGTAGTTGACTATAACTATATTAATCAAATGATAGAAACTACGATGACACGTCTGCTTAGTTCTTTAAATATATTAGCTTTAGGTGAACGTCATGCTACTTCTAATGACAGAACAAGCGGTAGAAACAATAACCCTGCTAGAAACTGCCAAAATATTCCCCAAATTGTAAATCAAGAAGATTTTAACTCACCTTCATCACATCGCAATCATTATTCTCCTGAATGTACAAATCCTTCTAATAGTCAGACTTCTTCCTTTCGTGTACCATTTACTGTAGATAAAATTTCATCTATCATTCAAGGGTGGAACCTTAAATTTGATGGTTCATCGAATGGACTAAG